GTGAATATAATCTGTCTTCATGAAATATTTTAAATTTTCTACTTTTTTTTATCATTGTTTTCCTGTCAAGTGGTAATACTGGGAAGAGTACTTAGTCTTGTATTCTTTTATTAGTATCAAAGCTATAGTATCATTAAATAATAAAACAATATTTGGCCATAATTTGAAAACAAAATAATCCACATCCCATCATGCTTTCAAAGTGTGTCCTTCAGTTTAATTTTCTCTTTTTTTCTTGCTTTGCCACAATGGGTAAATATGATAATTGAAAAGAATATGGTACTCAGAATGTTGTTATAACTGGATTACTGGAATTTATGGTATTTGAAGTAATGAAAGCATCATATATTTCCATCACTCAACTCAGTAGCAAGAATGCAGCAATATATGATCTATAAATATGAATGTACATGTGTTGTTAAAACTTTATAAATTTTGAAATTTGAACTCTATATAAATTTCATGAATCACAAAATATTAGACTTCTTTTGATTGTTTATACTATATTTAAATCATTTTTATTTGAGGTACAAAAACTATTCTTAGCCTACAGAGCATACAAAACCAGGCAATTGTCTAGATTTGGCTCAAGGGCAGTGGTCTGAAGACCCATAGAGGAGAAAAAAAAAAGACATTCATTTCAGTAATCCAGGCAAGTAATTGTATAGTTGGCCTACGAAGGTGATAGAGATGAGATAAGGATAATCTTAGGATATTTAAATAAAATATCTGATGATGAATTTAGTAGAATGAAAGAGAGAAAGGACTCTAGGTTTTCAAATTTGTATACTGGCATGGAAATCCTCCAGAAAGATAGAAAAACTTAGAAATATACCAAATTTGGAGGGAAACTCAGGAGTTCCCTTCAGCAATGTTCTTCTTTGATAGGCCTTTGTTATATCAAAGGACAGATTTATATAAGCAGTTGGGCTTGGAGATCTTGCCCAGGGCTATTAATGTTTTGTAATTGAAACCATGGACTTGGACGAGATTACTTAGCCTGAGAGTAGAGAATTAGAAGAAAGGAGGGCAGAGGGCCAACCCTGAGGAACTCCTACACTTAATGACGTGGGGAAGAAACTCAGACTGCCAAGGAGACGAAGAAGGAGCTGCCTAAGTGATGGTAGAGAAAGGAGAATTAAATTATGAATGGCAAAGGATGAGAATGTTTCAAGAGTGCCAGTGGTTAGCAGTCTTGAATTCCACAAGTAAAATGCACTGAGTTAACAGTATCGGGAAAGTGACAACTAATGAGTTTGAAAAGTATTTTATGGCTGTTACAGGGATGGGAGCCAGAATGGAGCAGATTGATTAGTGAGATTGTAAAAACAGAAAACATTTTTTTTTAAATGTGCACATAAAGTTGGAGAGAATGTAGTGGCAAAACTATATGGGATTGCAACAGCTGGGTCGGCTATATATTTTTTTAAATGGGACTTGAGTAAATTTACAAATGTGGAGAATCCATTTGATGAGGAGGCTGAGGACACATAAATGAGAAAGTAAATGAGAAAGTAAATGAGAAATGGGAACAAAACACAAGTCAGATCAGTCAATCACCTATCAATTGATCTGCCCATGTATTGTATCTCCTAAACACTTACATGTCTCTTTACAATTTTAATTTATGTTTAATAAATGTGAAATGCCTTGAAGCTTTAAGATTATTCAGATTTTACTTGCAGCTGAATCTCTGGAAAAGTACTAGTGAGTTGGGAGTCCCAATTTGAGTCTATGCTTGAAATAAATTTTCTTTATTATTGCAGTTAAAATAAATAATAACTCTGAAAACATGCTTTATTATCTCTTGCTTTGAAATATCATGAATGTAAACTATCAATTTCTTTTGAAAATATAAATGAATAAAAACTTACCATTTTAAAGTTTGGACCATACTAACAAAAACCGATTATTTATTTCATTAAATGAGTCATATTAAGATCCTTTTAAGTTGATTATAAAATAAACTAGGATTCTTATGAATATATCTCTGTTCTGTTGTGCTCAAATATTACATTTCTCTCCTCAAAAGCTGCAGCAGGAACATTGATTACATTCAGAAATATAATGTTTACTCCATTATGTTGATACAAAATCATTATGAATTAAATTTTCCCTACTAAAGGCAGTGTTGTCTGGTAACTATGTGCAGTTATTTTTCAAAGCTAACATGGACACATACACAGCCACTTTCAATAATATTGTGTATGGATATGAGTAAGTAACTTAAATCTCTTTATGTTTTTTCTTACTCTCTTGGTCAAGAGACTAGACTCCAGGTCATCTCTTATGAGCTGTCCTGGGTTCCTAGCCCCTTTCTTATGTCAAACCTCAAGGGTCACTGAAGGCCCTTCAGTCTTATAATCACGTGCTTCTACTTCCTGTATTCCATTCTCAGTGCTGACTCTGTCCAGTCTATGAAAAGGTAAAAAATACACTCAAGGATGAGAGAATAGGGCAGTAGCTAGAGGAGACTGCAGATTATTAAGAAATTGTTGGTTAAGATTTGGAAAGCTGTAATAAGAACTTTCCGTGATCTGAGAACTTAATGGCTATTTGGGAAAATTGCCAACTTTGATTTTTACAGGCAATTTTTCCAAAGGTAGTTAGAAGTTTAGGAGTGATTCCTATAGATGTGCAATGCTTTTTTTTTTTTCTGCCAAGAGTAGAAGGAAGAGTCACCTGTGTAAATGTTGAAGAGAAGTTAAGTAAGGGTGACACTGAGTGTCCACTGCCTCTGGCAGCATGGAGGCCTTTGATGACTTATTGGAAGTAGTTTCTGTTTGTAGAAGCAGAACCTCTAATAGTGTGAACTAAAGACTGAACAGGGAGTAAAGAAATGTACAAACTCTGGCCGTGAAGTGTAGAAGAGAGACAGGGACATTGTTAGAGTAAGCTTAGGGTCAAGGGCGCTTTTTAAAAAAAATGAAAGCGAGTTGCGCATGTTTAAGTGCTAATGGTAAGTACCCAGAAGTGAGGGAATGACTGAAGATTCAAGGTAAAGAGACAAGTCCTTGAGAAAGTATAAGGTGTGTCACCACCCAATGAACAGGGATTATCTTTAGTAACAAGTTATTTCCTTTTTTACGGTAAAGAAGATACAAACGTGAGTTAGTAGATCCTATGAGAAAAAGTAAGCTACCACTGATCCAATGGTTTCTGTTTTCTATGTAGCAAGATGAGAGATCCTCTATGAAGAGTGAGATAGAAGGGAAGGGTAGGTATAAGAGGTTTTGGGTAGAAGGGTAAGGTTTGAAACAATTATTGTAGAAAGTTGAAGAGAAACAGAACAGAGACTTGCTTAAGGGCACTTAGTTCTTCCTCTACTAATTATTCCTCTAACAATTCTCTTTGCAACCAATAGCTCAGGCTTATGTTTATGAAGTATCACAAAATCTGACATTTATCCAATGACTGGAAATTTTTTCAAAAAATTAAGTTCTCTCTTCTGATTGAGTCAAAATCTTTTCTAGATGCCTTTATACCTCTAACACACATTTTAGCTTATTCATTATTTTGTTTAAAATGCTATCTTAAAATCAATTTTGTTTTTATTGTTTGTCCTTAAGAAAAATATAAATTGGGGTATAGGAAACTTTTATTCATTTATGTGTCTCCCCACAGTACTAAGTATGAGTAAGACTTTTAACATAATATAATTTTCTGGTTTTGTTAATTTGTTTTGAGATGGACTTTCACTCTTGTCACCTTGGTTTAGTGCAATGGCATGATCTCAGCTCACTGCAACCTCTGCCTCCTGGGTTCAAGTGATTCTCCTGCCTCAGCCTCCCAAGTAGCTGGGATTATAGTCATGTGCCACCACACCCAGATAATTTTTGTATTTTTAGTGTAGACAGGGTTTCGCCTTGTTGGCCAGTCTGGTCTTGAACGCCTGACCTGAGGTGATCCACTTGCTTGACCCTCCCAAAGTGCTTGGATTACACGTGTGAGCCACTGCATCCAGCTTGGTTTTTTACACTTTGAGTAGTCTTATTCTTTCTGGAAATAATTTTACATCACATCAATCTTAGAAGTGTTGTTAGCTTTCTCTTTTTCTCTTATCTGTAGTTTTCTGGGTCATTCTTGGCTTGCCACGGGGCCTCATGGTTGGATGGAAACATGTCACATTTTAAAATTTACTTAAAGTCATGATGAAGTTTGGTCATATTCTGTCTTCAATTTATGCTGAGGGCATGGTTTTTGTTAATATTAGTTCTTCTTTCTTCTGTATTTTTTTTTTTTGTTGTTGTTTGTTTTTGGAGAAAATTTTGGGAGAAATCATTCTAGGTAACCACAGTTATCTTTAGCTACTCAAAAATCACCTAGTCATCAATTTTAAATATAACTACATTTGAAAAAATTAAATTTAGTTGGGGAAGTTGTTAAAATTTATGTTTATAATAACATATAAATTTGGTCTACACATTTCTGTGTGTAAGACATAAGAAATTTTAAAACATCTTATTACTCCATATGGAACAGTTTTACCCAATTCTTTCTTGAAGTCGCTGCATACATGTTATGTTGTAGATTGAGCTTTTCACTCATGGTCACGGCTGTGGGAATATGGCTGGAGGTGCCTGAGAGGTGGATGTTTATCAGCTGTTCATACATGCGCTTTTGTAAGAAGCAGAGTTCCTCTCCCTTATGACCCAATCAGGTCCAGAAATTATAGTACAGAAATATTTTATGAAGCCACCCCACTCGCTTCCCATGGGACAGTTTGTCAGCACATGTGTCATGCCCTTTCTCATTAAGCTATAGTTGCCTCAAATAGTGCCAGGAAGTTAGGAAAGGGCACTCTGTAAGGGCAGAAAGGATGATAAGGAGCCAGAGGGAAAAACACAAGTGAGAAAAAATAAATTACTACCTTAAAATATTATCCCAGATTCACAATCCAATCCAAAACTAATATTGTTCTGTTCTTATTATATAAAGAGATAATGAATGCCTAGTATACTTTAATTTTCTGATACAACTTGTTGATTTCTGCTTCACAGCTATGTTAGAAATTGATGAAGACTATCCATTATTTCAGTCCATTTATAGAGTGATGGCCACAGATGAGGACTTCGCAAACGGCGATAGGCTGAATGTAGGTGGCTATCATTGTGCCAGATGCTTTGATCAATTCAGTGTACAGTGCAATCTTTTTGAAAATGTTTCAAGCACAGTTAATATAATTTGATGATTAAAGAGTATATGATGAAGTTTACAACCACTATGATGCAATATTCGTGTTAATGTTGGAAATGGCATTTTTGGAAGATGCTATTTTCTTGAGGCATACAGGAAAATTACATGACTTCTAATTGAGGTCAGGGACTGGGAGGAAGATGTCAATGCTGAGGCAAAACTGGGGCTTTGCCTTTTGGAAGCTAATCAGAACTACTTCTCTTTCCTAGCTATTTCAATGATACATATGAATGTGATTATATATTTTTGATGTTTCAGTGTCCTAATTACTAAGGATCTAACCCAAGACACTTGCTTTTTCTCTTAATTGATTCATGGTTGTAAAGTCTCTTAGAGATTTGGCAAAATGAAAAGAACCTATAAAGTTTGTTTTGGAGACTTCAGCAACGCAATGGACCACAAAGTCAGCAGGCTTGCTCTGCAGCTGTTCTTTTTGAACAAGTATAGAAATAGTTTACTACATCTAATGTAACTCACAGTATAAAGTAATCGAGCAGCAAATGGCAGTGAGGTAGTTAGGTGACTTGGGCTAAGTTTGGCTTTACCACCAACTAGTGCTGTAATACTGGGGAAGTCACTTAATCCCCCTTGTGTTTGATTTTTGCAATTATAAGACTTTTTTTTTTTCCTTCATTAGCCTTCAGTGATAGATGTGCCGTTGTCAGTCAAAGTATTCAAAATCCCTGTGGGACACTCCAAAAACATTTTGCTGTGGACTAGTCAATATGAAATTGTTTAGAAACACAAGACCTTTCCCATTACATGACGTCTTTTCAATAAATTTTTAAAACACTGTGGTCCAGCTGAAAGTAATTATTACCACTTCTGTTGTTTTCAGAAACATAATAAAAACCAAACAGGTGATTGTTTTAAAATTCAGTGTTTTTAGAGGTAGTTCTATTTTTGGAGGCTAGAAATTCATATCGGATTACAAAGAAGAACACAGAGGTAATTAAACTTTTCTTCAGTGAAATTTTACCTCCTTCCAAACTAAATGGTCTTCAGATACTTTTGAAGTTATATTTATCTACTTTTACCTCTTCTCAGAAGTGGTGGGAAATAAATAAAAAGGAAAATTAAGAACATAAATTATACACTGCATTAATATTTGAAATAATAACACTTGAAATGGGTTTATAGCATTATAATTCTTTTGTTTCTTAAAACTGATGAGTTTTGTACATTTTTAATGATACCGATAGTGAGTTTATTCTGTACACAGTGTTGTATGTGCAGAATTAAATTAATAAAACAAATAATAAAAATTAAGCATTAAAAAATCATTTTAGAAAACTGCAAAGTGTTGTGCAGTTCTGTTTAAAATATAGAAAATATTTTGATTATGTTATAGGATATACAACTGTATTGTTTTTCCTGTATCCTGAAAAAAATGGTGTCAGTGGTTCTAATACTAGTATATCATAAAGAAAAACTGAAATTAATCGGTGTGAAAATAGGGAACTTTCCATATATTTGCCCCATTATTGTGTCTTAATGATCTTCCATGCCTTCTCATTTATTTGGTTTTGAATAATGCATATTTTATTTTTCTAATACACCATTGAGACACAGTTATCTGGACCAAAGAAAGGAGCAAACTCCTTTGGAATTGATCCTATAAGTGGTGTTGTTAGTGTAAGAGGAGAAGATCCCTTGGATTTTGATGCTGGATATCATGTAATTAAAATGTTTGTTTATTTTTCCATGCAGAATGAAACAGAATTTTTATCATTTTGAGCTCTTCATGAAGACTCAAACACCTTGTTGTTTTGAAGGGAGATTAATATTTTGTGTGATTCATTTGTGAGGATTTGTGCATTTAACCAAAAGCCTACATCCAATCTTTATGTTACTACAACTTTAGAGATTATGTCTTTTTTTTTTTTTTTTTTTTTTTTTTTTAATTTTTTTTTTTTTTTTTTTTTTTTTTTTTTGAGACAGAATCTTGCTGTGTCACCCAGGCTGGAGTGCAGTGGCCCCATCTTGGCTCACTGCAACCTCTGACTCATGAGTTCAAGCGATCCTCCTGCCTCAGCCTCCCAAGTAGCTGAGACTATAAGGCACCCGCCACCACACCTGGCTAATTTTTGTATTTTTAGTAGAGATGGGGTTTCACTACATTGGCCAGCCTGGTCTTGAACTCCTGACCTCTTGATTTACCCACCTCGGCCTCCCAAAGTGCTGGGATTATAGGCTCAACACTGCACTCAGCTGAGATTATGTCTTAACATTTTGATTTTACCAAAAAAAGTTTAAGAAAAAAAATTTAAGTGTTATTTAAATCGGGGAAAACCAAATCAATACATCATTAAAATGTAAATATTTCTGAACATCAAAGAAATGAAAGAAACTTAAATCAATCAAGTTTTCATATTGAAACTATTATACGATTCATATACCCTACCCCAGTTAGAGTGTTAACTCACTTAGATAGCCAAGGTAAGATAGGGCATAAACCTTATAGGTGAATCTGAAAATAACATGGTAAGAAAAAACAGTATATGGTATTTACATGAGAAATATAATTTAAGGAAAGCATTCAGAGATGATTGAGTGGAAAACGAAGAATATGTAAGTATGAATAAGTGACTGGAAAGAAACCAGCTATTGGAGATAGTCTGTCCACATAGAAATGAGGTGTGTATTTTGAGAAATAAAGGCTGTTATTATTATGATCATAAAATAACACTCTGGAATATTGTAAAAAAATTTCTATTTTCAGAAGTGTCTTCAAATTTATTATTTCAATAAGGTGATTAAGAAAATAGGAAGAAGGGGAAAATGTAAGGCATTAGAGAAAAAACAGAGAATTTGCTGCTAAGATAATTAGAGGGAAGAGTTAATAGTTGAAGATCTGAACTTTCTGGCCTGAAAGAATATAAATGGTGGAAGAATATCAATGAATTCTATTTAAATTTTAATTTGATGTGTTACATGATAGAGGATGGTGAAGAAGCCAGTGATAAATATCTTTTAAGCAACTCGAGTGTTAGGAGTATAATATGAGATAGGTTAGATGGAAGATCAATGGACATCATGCATGTAAGCAATTCAGCTCCATATCTCTGACTCTTCCCAGCCTCTTCACCTCCTGCCTTGACCAACATTCAACCTAACTTCTACCAAGTCCTTTGAGATCACTTCCATCTTTCCACTGCAAAACTAATCAATTTATTATATGCCATCTGACATGTAGTTACCTATCCAAGGGACTGAAGTTTGATCATTGTCAGCCCTTTCCTCAGTGTGGAGTCTTACATGCTATAAAGTTTTATTGAATATCTAAACATAGTGGATACCTTACTGCCTCAGTGGTATTTTGTTTTTGTTTTCAAAGGGGCATTTCCTGATATGAGCAAATGGTTTCTAAGGGGTGAGTTGTGTGGCAGGCTGAGGAGAAAAATATTTAATGTTTGATTTTATTTTTAACTCTTCAGAAGAAATTACTTGTATCATGGAGCCCAAAGAGTAGCTTATCTTCCTATTTCTAGGGTTGAGCGTAAAACAGCCTGGTTTGTCAATAATTTCAGTGCATTGTATTTTGGCTTAAGATTAAATCTAAAAATTGTTCATTTGGGAGGAGTTTTATCCGTATTGAGGCATATAGCCAGGCTATGCAGACTTTTGAATGAAATTTAATGGTATATGAAATGAAGCAACCTATAATGAATCTAGCTAAATAAGAAAGATAAATAAATACAAGTAAGAAAGTACTTGGATTTCTTTTAACGAATGAGAAGAGAAATAAGAAACTATATTTAGTTGGAGAAAACAAAACAAAAATCTAACAGGATACATATTGTGATAGTATATATGTATTATAAAATAGTAGTTTGTAAAGTTTTAAAAAACTGTTTTCCAGCTTGCACTGAAAGCAACAGATACAACAGGTCTGTTCTGTCAAGGGACACTAATTATCTTGATTAGAAACATAAATGATGAGAAGCCTCAATTTGAGTAAGCATATTTATTTTAAAGAGTATACATAAGAGAATGGTTAAAATAAACTTTTCACATATACAGTTGGCACTTGGTGTCTGTGAGGCATGTGTTCCCAGACTCCCCTGAATACCAAAAGCTAGTGTTCAATAATCTTTTTTAATGGTGTAATGGTGTATTATTTTCTTTTTCTTTTCTTTTTTCTTTTTGAGACTAAGTCTCGCTCTGTCGCCCATGCTGGAGTGCAGAGATGGGATCTCAGCTCACTGCAACCTTTGCCTCCCAGAATTCAAGCAATTCTCCTGCCTCACCCTCCCACGTAGAGTAGCTGGTACTACAGGTGTGTGCCACCACACCCAGCTAATTTTTGTATTTTTAGTAGAAATGGGGTTTCACCATGTCAGCCAGGCTGGTCTCAAACTCCTGACCTCAAATAATCTCAGGTCTCCCAAAGTGCTGGGATTACAGGCATGAGCCACTGTGCCCAACTGTTTTATTTTCATATAACCTATGCATGTCTTCTTGTATACTTTAAATCATCTCTATATTCCTTATAATACCTAATACAATATAAATGCTATGTAAGTAGTTGTTATACTGTATTTGGGGAATATTTTTGTCCCCATGGCTGGTTGAATTTATGACTATAAAACCCATGGATACCAAGCACAACTGTGTTACAAATAATGATAATAAAGATTATGTAGATACACAGAAATTTTTTTGATGTTGTTAAAATATATGACTATATATCAATTATTAATGTATATACTCATAAAAAATAAAATGTATTAGAAAACACTGGAAAGCAAATTTACAACATTGTAATATGGTAAAAAAGATCTTGGTGTATCTTTTTTTTTCTTTCCTGAAGGTTATTCACAGTTGCTAATTGCTTTTTAATAATTACGTCAATTTTAAATAAAGGAAAGGTAGACCTTAAACTTAGTTTAAAATCTTTAATTTAAAATATTTTATTTTCATACTCTGGAGGTATAGTTGTAGCATTTAAAACTGTTTACAGATTATGAATGCAATGAATGTTAGATGTTTTTCTATACTTTAAAATATAGTAATGAAATGTATTACTACAATCTAAGAGGAATCAAGTACTCCTTAGATTATGAAAAAGAAGAAGAAAAATCATAGTCTTCAAGTTACTTTCCTTATATCACTAAGTTATATCTCTACAGATGACTAAGGAGAGTAATTCATTATTTGGATCTCCAAATTTATTTTAAGTTATGTTTTCTGAACAACTTAAGATAATTTGGAGCTTAGTTTATCCTTTATTGGTGGGAATCATTTTCCTAACTGTCCTCCTGTGTTTGTAGTAGAGTTGCCATCAACTTTTTGGAAAAATTTTCTGCTGCCTTCATATCTGTTAAGTATGAACTTATTGATTTTAATTTTTTGTAGAATTTAATGCAACATATTATAAGCAATGCAAAAATTATTGAAATATTGCCCTCAACTGCTTTTTTCATCTCTTAAGAGATATTGCATGTTTAAGTAACAATTAAGAGAAAGATTTAATGTGGTCTAGAATATGAATATTATAATTTACATTATATTATGGTACAAAGGAGAAAACTCTGTAGAGGAGAAACCACATTACATTACTGTGATTAAGAGGGTTGCTCAAAGGATGGCATCACTCACTTTTCCTTTGAATTTACATTTCTTTGAGGACTTTCTTGAACCTCTCTTATATCCCCAGAATTAGTTTCTTTTTTAAATTTGCAGCAAAGTTAAAGCATCTATTACCTAGTATTTTAGCTGTTTATACCTGTGTTTCCCATTAGCACTGAGATCTGAACAAATGCTAAGACTCAGTCATATGTGCATTCACTGGAGTGACACATGATTATGAATAAATGTCTGGTGCCTGAATGAAAGGCTGAATAAGAACTAAATGTAACTTTCAGAAATGTTCTGGAAATTGATCAAGGACTTTTACGTGTGACTTGAAGACGTAAGTGATATATTTACAAGAACAGTCTGGAAACTTGCTCTAATAAGTGATGACTTTGGAGGGAGTTTCATCATATCAGATAACAAAATGAAAACAACAATGTTTAGTCCTTTATGTTCAGTTGCCAATTATTCCATGCATTGAATATCTGGAATAATGGAGATTCACTGTTCCATTTTGTTTTTCATTTTCCATCTCTTTTATGTCATGTCTTTGATGTGCATGGTGCTAGAGACTATATGATTAAAAATTAAAAATGTTTTTGCAAAAAGTTAAATAACTTTGCGCCACAAATGGATTTGCTCAATATTTGAATAGCTTTGGGACTTGTAAATCCTTGACAAGCGGAAGGTGATATTATAAATCCAAAAGATTCTTTCCAGGTTATCATAACTTGGCAATTATGTACGTAAGAATTCTCAAATTTGCATCCTCAAAATTTTTCATCATCATTTTTTTCTTAAGGCCATTTCCTCTGGATGCTATTAATGTGACTGAGAAGAAATCTATTGGAGAAATTATAGCAAGAGTAAAAGCAACAGATCGAGATGAAGATAGCAGTATCATTTATTCATTTAAAACTCAGCAGAAAATGTTTGGTTTGGACTCTTGTAAGTTTTAAATAAATACTTTTAGCCTACTTTGGCTAAACATTCACAATCTAATCTCTGCACTTCCATTAGATCTTAGGTTGGCAAAACTACCCTTTCAAAATTAAATTAAATATGAAGAAGGAAATATTCCCTAAACATGTGGTATTTGACAGTTGCTATTTTCCTATTTCTGAAAATGACATTCTTGTGTAATAATGGGTGATATAATACCTTGCTTTTATAGCTGGCTATCATTTTTCAGAGGCATTCAATACAAATGCTTCTGCACATCCTTATAAATTACAGGATGAAATGACCTATCTATCTCTTCAATTTGATTTGAGAAAGTTGGGACTTTTCCAAAATGACTTGATTTTGGGTTATTTGTAATGGACAGATTTCTGCATGTGTGAACAGGATTGCTGTTTTGAAATATTTCTCTCTGATGGTTGTCATACTCGTTGGTGTTATCAATCAGAGTACAACCAGAGAAAAATAGCCATTGAGAGTATATTGTAGCAGTGTGTTAAGTAGTCTCTGTAACGCTTTGTGTCTCATCCTGAAGGCTTGTGTCTGATGCTGAAGCTTAAACCCATAAGGCCGGAAGTCAGGGAGAGAAGATGCGTACAAAGTGGGAGAGGTTAAGGGTAGTCTGGAAGACAAATCATATGCTGGACCCCATAAGAATGAATTGAAACCCATTTTAGTTCTTTTTCCTTCTGACCTTGCTGGTGTGGGTGTTCTGTAGAAGCTAAGCCTTTCATCACAGGGCTGAGTATACAGACCTGTTCTAGGAGTCAGAGAAGCTGAAAGAATATACAGCAGTAGGTCAAGCAGTTTCAAGTTCAGCTGCAGCTAGTTCACACCAACAGTAACACAGCAGATCAACAAAAACATGCGTAAGAAACAAAATGGCTGCTGCTACCTTTCTACCTTCCAAGTTGGCCAAGAATTTCCCTTGTGTCTCATGAAACTGAAACACATACAAAATAGAATGCTGAGAAATATAGTTTGGCTTAGCACATGTGGCATATTACAAAGCCATCACACTAATCATCCAATACTTGAGATAATTTATTTGAATCCTGAAAGTTGTTGGCAGCTTATGCATTTAACTTCAAGATGCAAATATCAGTGAGAAAATAAGTGCATTAATAAATAATAATGTACCAGCTAAATAAAATTTAGAAGAGATTAAGACCTTGTGGAAATTATGAAGACATTCAGCGTGGGCTCAAAGTAGAGGATTTTCGAACAAGAAAGGAGAGATTCTGGGAGAGAAGATAAGTGATGGCACCAGAAATAAAGAGCCACTTCTGTCATTGCCAGTTTTTATAAGTTTGGCGTTTGAGCTCATTTTTCATTTTTGTACACAATAAGACTGAGTTAAGATAGAAGACAAAAGCAATGAAATGAATGATTATTTTAATATGGTTTGACTAATTTTTCAGGCTCAAAAACAATAACATTTATTGTTGTAATTAAAGTAAAATATTCTGGTTTGCATTGGTTATTTTTTAAGTAGGAATCCTATCTATGCTTAGTAAATGAATGACAATTTAGAAACTTGAAGAAAAATATGAAACTATTTACTATTTATAATTTATTATCTGCTATTTATAATTTACTATTTAATTATATTTATGATGTAACCATAAAGCAAACAGCAGCTTTTAAGAAAATATTTCCAAAGCATGTAGAATTGCTAAATATTGCTTTTCTCATGTATGAAAAAAGTATATTGTTAAGTGAATTAAAACATCATTAATAGAAATAAGTTAGCATAGGCTTAATTATTTTAGTTTGATCATTTTTCTTCATTGTATTTCTTTTTATTAGTCACCGGAACAATCACTCTTCTTCAGCCTTTGAGTCTTAACAACCCAAGTAACTCCAAAACCTACTCTTTGGAAATTGAGGCAACAGATAATGGAAATAATACCAGCAGCTATATGTTTACAGTTTTTGTGGAGAATGTAGATGATCCTATTTCCTGTGATCCAAGTTTTTCAACAGGAGCAGGTATAATACAAGTGAATTTTATTAATAAAATTCATGAGACAATAATAAAATTACAAAATAAAACTTGGAATTATAGTTTAAGCTTTCTGGTTTTATAAATCAGAAGTAAATAAAAGAAAAGCAAATAAAGTGAGAGACACAGCATTTTCCTAAAAAGAAAAAAAAGTTAGTATAATTCAAATTTGAATTCAAATTATAATTATTTCTGTGTGTGGTGGATAGGGGATAGGAGTAATGACAAAACTATTCTGAGTGTATCTGTAACATATGGATTGATATGTAGCCTCACAAGTTATCAAATTTATAAAAATCCAGATAAAATACAATATTCACCTAATAAATTGGCCAAAATATTAAAAATACAGGAAAAAATTCAGCATTGATTAAAGGTATACAGAAATTATCACTTTCATAATGTGAGATTTTTAGAATAACTGCCTAGAATACTATTTCATAAATATTTATTTCAAAAATGATTGTAATCTCTACCTGGGTATTTCTACCTGAATTCACCTTTACAGAAATATTGGAGATATAATCAAGATTTATGATCAAAATTTGTAATAGTATAAGGTTTGAAATAACCAAAATGTCTAAGAATAGGAGATTGATTTAAAAGATACTATGTCAATTTGATGAATTGCTATCTAACCATTAAAAATTATCTTCAAAAAATAATAAGCATGAAATGATTCATGATAGAAACTATAAACATGGTTTCTTTAATTTGGTGTATACAATAATGTATATACCATATATATATATAAAACTCATAGGTAGTTATAAATATGTATACCATTTATATATAATCATATTTTTGTATGATTATAATAAATTATTTTTTCAAAATTTTAGTAAACATGCTCCACTATTCATTTTTAATGTTTCTTAAATTAAAAATTCTAGCTGTACTTATAAAATTTCATCCTAAGTGTCATCATTACTCTTAGTAGTATGTAGTTATTTAATCTGCTATTCTTGCCTCCAAAAATACTTGCTTAAAATAAGTTTTCAGTTGTACCAACTCTAATAGAATTTAAAGTAATATATAGCGGTAACTTTCAGTATGATTACAATAGACATAGTCCTGAAAAGTTTGATAAATTAAGTTTTGTAAATCAAATTTCATTCTTTTACTTAACTCACGAAAGAAAACATGCATTATATATTAGAATCAGTAGGTCTTTATGTATAAAATGATAAAATATGTTATTCTACTTTGTGTCAAACCCATCACAGCCTCATATACAGTTACCTAACCTCACTCTCATGTGAATTTGTGTTTTTCATGAAGACCTAAAAACACAGTCTTTAAAACATTTGAATACCTGAAACCTTGCACATGATTGAATCTCAGGAAACAGGTTGGCTTGACTTAATTTTGTTTGGGTGAACCGGATCTCAACAATTATATCTGCTCTGTTGGTTAGTCTTTCTATTTTTTTTCTCTCCATTTATTTCTAACTTGCTCATCTACCATAAAGACTTTATCTACTCCTTCTACCTTCTTTGTTTTACCACTTTTCTTTATTTCTATTAAGAGAAACTACCCAACTAACTGGGAGACAATAAGATAAAAAAGAAGTTGAGGGCAAGTGGAACAAGGCAAACTTCCTTAAAATAGTCTCTCTTTTATTTTGTTTTTCCCAGATGCCTGTTCATTGCTACTCTCTCTATTCATTTCTTACCACTGGCATTAACTCTTTCAGTCTTCAGAAACATCACCCTTTTAGAAACTCAAAACTTCTAATACACACAACACACACATTTCTTACTTTGAATCAAAAAATATCTTCTGATATACATAATAATAAATGTATCTAAAAATATAAGTTTATATTAAAGGAATTCATTCACAGAAACTAAATTTAATCAAGAAAAGTCTCCTAGGTGAGGCTTAGCAATGTAACAATAAATGGGTTTGGTGTTTGTGAAGATGTAATCTTTTGGACCACTTTGAAACAATTTAGTTGATGTTATTTGTAATTTCCTTTTAGTCTTCCCAAATTATAGTAAACTTTAAAAAGATACACATGGATCTCAAGAAGGTCAGTTTGACCTGATTTCTACCACAAGCTTGGCTGAACCAGCATAAACTGCTAGGGTATCATCGAGATCAGGATGTCTTTCTCTTTCATCAACTGGGCTGTGGGCCTTGGGACATGGTAGAAGTGGGGACAAGAAGTCATCTTCTTCTGTTAAAAATAGGGCAACTCTGTGACCAAGAATTGCCAGAGAAAAGATATTGGTATGATTTTCAAGCTGCTGATTTTACACACACATATTCAATTCATTTACTGGGTTTAATTATCCATTTCCTATAATTAACCAGAACAAATCACTAAATTAGAGAATCTGCCTACACACGTTCAGTTTGAAACAAAGGTTCAAAATAAGCAAGTCCTAGTAAACAAAAGTTGTTCTATAACATACTTAGAAAGAGTCAAACAATGTTAGACCTTTACAGCATTACCCAGTCTAGATTGTGATACAATACTCACTGGATTTGATACCCAAGATTCAGCGGCACAGTAAACATTAATCCTTTTGTCTTTTAAAAAAACTTTCCTTTGTGGAATAATGTAACAGCTAAAAAATATATATATATTAGTAATCTAAATGTGCATTTATGTTATTTGATTTTGGGGTTATGCAGAATCATAGTTGATAACATTGAAAGGAGGATGAAGAGCTGTGGTTGGAAAAAGGCAAGTAGCATTTGGTGAGCATTTGTGAGATGCTGTGTATGGTATTTTATTTAATCTCCAAAACTACTCTAAGATCAGAGATGTACTTTATCCTCATTGTACAGGTGAGAATAGTGATGGAGCAGGAATTCAAGTGGATTTCTTCCTGTCTTCACAGGCTGTGCTCTATTTTTTGTATATGATTGTGAAAGGAAGCAAAAAGCTTCAATATTCTAATAGAATAGAATAAAAGTAGAAATCATTCTTCGAGCAATTAGATCCCATTCCATACCCGTAGCCCAAAATTTAAATGTAGAAATATAAAACCAAATTATGATGGCTATTTATTTATTTTATTATACTTTAAGTTCTGGGGTACATGTGCAGATCGTGCAGGTTTGTTACATAGGTACACACGTGCCATGGTAGTAGTTTACTGCATCCATGGCCCTGTCATCTACATTAGATATTTCTCCTAATGCTATATCCCTCCCCAATCCCCCTAAGCCCTGCTATTCCTCCCCTAGGCCCCCACCCCCCAGGCCCCAGTGTGCGATATTCCCCTCCCTGTGTCCGTGTGTTCTCATTGTTCAACACCCACTTATGAGTGAAAACATGCAGTGTTTGGTTTTCTGTTCTTGTGTCAGTTTGCTGAGAATGATGGTTTCCAGTTTCATCCATGACCCTGCAAAGGACATGAATTCATCCTTTTTATGGCTGCATAGTATTCCATGGTGTATATGTGTCACATTTTCTTTATCTAGTCTATCATTGATGGGCACTTGGGTTGGTTCCAAGTCTTTGCTATTGGGAGCAGTGCCACAATAAGCGTACATGTGCATGTGTCTTTATAATATGATTTACAATCCTTTGGGTATATACCCAGTAATGGGATTGCTGGGTCAAATGGTATTTCTATTTCTAGATCCTTTAGGAATCACCATACTGTCTTCCACAATGGTTGAATTAATTTACACTCCTTAAGCTAATAAGCAACTGCAGCAAAGTCTCACAAGACAAAATCAATGTGCAAAGATTGCAAGCATTCCTATACACCAATAATAGACAAATAGCCAACTCATGAGTGACCTCCCATTCACAATTGCTACCAAGAGAATAAAATACCTAAGTATACACTTAACAAGGGATGTGATGGCTCTTTTTAAATGTTGATGTTAATGGAAATAAGTATTTGTAGGAATTTTTTTGTTTGTTTCTCTGAAATATGAAGAAGACTGCTTTAAGGATAAATACAGTATAGTAATTTATGGTATCAGCATGATGCAAGAAGTGAAAAAAATATATTTGAATTTAAATTATTGTTTGTGATTGTGTAATTGTATAGGTATTTCAGTGTCTGTTCCTGAAAACATTCCTGCATCTGCTTTTATATATAAGATTCTTTCAAGAGATCCAGATCTAGGACAGGAAATTGAAGTCAGGTTTTTTTTTTTATTATCATCCATTTATTTTTGCCCAACTTGGATGAAAAAAGAAAAAAAAACTCAAAAGAGTGCTCAATTGTTAATGCATACAAATTATTTTACCAGGCTTTTAATTATTTTACCAGGCTTTTAATTAAAGTGTTCTTTATATGTATGGTAGTCACTGAAGTGAGAGAGGAGACTTAAACCTTTGAATTCTAGTAACATAAAATTAAAATGCTATGGCTTCAAAACGAAAGCAATAGACTTCAAATGGTCTGAAAGCACTGTGAAAAACTAGTGCTTATATCTACTGGCATTTATCTGATGACATTTACATGCACGAATAAAATGTTCTTTCATTGTTCATTGCCTTTTATTCATCCCAATCAGGCATATTTTCTTTATTATATATACAACGTGAATAAAGGATATTTTAGGTCTTCATATTATTTCTGGCTTTAGCAATAATTCATAAAGAGGAGAGAATAAATTTTAGATGTTAAAATGGTTACAGCTCAAGAGGGGGTAAAGAAGAAATTTAAGATAATTCATCACTGTATTTTTTTCTCAGAAATTTTTATGGTATACATATGACCTATAATCTAATTATATTTGTGAGAAAAAATTCTTTTTTTGATGATACAATATATCATAAATCTGATTAATACACTGGAATATTCTGCCCTAAATTTAGTGAGTCAAATTCTCCATAGAAAAGACTAAGTTTTTTTTTTTTTTTCTATTTGTTCATGCTTGCTATAACAACACACTTATAAATCTCGCTTGAGAATATGTTTGAAAGTAAAGTTTGGGAGAACAGCTCTCTGGAGAATTTAGTCTATTTGTAATTTTTCTGGTGACCTGATTATAATGAGATTTTAATACATTTGATTACATTTTTTGATCATGTGAATTTCAGTCTGAGGACAGAAGATAACACAGGAAAAATGTAATTCCTGGTATACCAGGCTCAGCACATCCATCCGTGTGAAGGTGTCTGTGTGTGTGTTGGGACGATAGAGTTGGAATATTGGGTTATGTGGGTATGTGCATTTAAACTAGAATATGTGCATTATGTAGAGGATGGGTGTCTACAAAAGTATCAATTATAATTATGTGTTTACATGCATAGTTTCTATTACTAAAAATTAATGTAATATCTGGATTTTATTGTAAAAGTCATTAGGAAAGAGAAAACAAATGTTTGAAAAATGATAATTTTTAACAAATCTAAAACCATAGTAATGAGGATAAACAAAGAAATTATTTTCAACAGGATTTTAGTCTAACATAAGCCAACTTTGATTATTCACTTACAGGCAAATGAAAGATGTTTAATATGATCATAAAACTGGCTATCATGTATTTTTTAGAAATGGCCTTGGGTGTCAGATCCTCCCATGTTTTATTGGGTTATTTTTTTTGAGCTAGAATCTGGATGTAAGTGTTTATAATATAATTTCTTTGTGAAATCCTTTTCAAAATCTTTAATATTTATCTTTATAACAATGGAGCAAAACATGCAATGTCCATAAAATTAATAGTTTTGTCCAAGGCAATATTTTATTTTTGCCATACAGAAAATCGATTCAGAGATGAAATCAAATGGCTTCTTCCAGATAATTCAGTGCATGTGCCTCCTTTAGATATACTTCCTGAGTATCCAAGAGGGAATGACTTTTTTTTTAAATATTAGGAAAATCTGTAAATGCAACACTGGAAAGTAAACTATGAAATTATTGAAAGCTATTCACCAAAAATGCTCTAATACTTTAGTATAAAATGCATTGGAAAAAATACAACTACAATGTGAAAGAATATATAGATTATTTTTGAAGTCTGTAACTGAAAGTACATTTAGATTTTAATTTATGGGCACTGTCTTCAGAAAATTTATTTTGGTTTACTTCTTGCCAAATCATTGTATCAAAGCTGTCAGTTCAGAATTCATGCTTACTCAATAATGTACTAACCATATTTATGTGTGTGTTGCAGTTTTTAATATTAAATTCTTCAATTAATGCCACTGCCTACTTTGCTTTGGATTCACATAATGGTGTCATTTCTAAAACCACTGAACCTCTTTTGGACTATGAAACAAATCCTAAGGTGAGACAAAATATAAAACTGAATATAAAAGAATGAATACCATTAAATACCCTTCAACAAAATAATTTTTAAAATCTTATCTAAGTTGAAAGAAGTTACCAAATTTATGTAATTGCATTTTCACATTCACCCAGATCAAGCAGAAATTCATTTTAAAAGAAAATAAATTTAGAAGCATATGTGATTCATTGTAGTTTTTTTATTAGATCTTATTTAAATATTTCAATTTTTGTGTGTGTTTCTGTGGATGTATATAAAAGTTGGAGAAGGGATTGTCTCCATATTCAACAGCATGGAACAAAGGCAGTGTTCTGGGTAATTAACTAAAAGTGTACTTCTTTAGTTTTGAATTGTCTGAAAAAGTGCCTCTGTCTTTGGCTTTATGTGCTTGTAGAGACCTGGTATGGCCTTTTTTCCCTGCAATGTTCTGGTCAAATTTGAAATTTGCGAATAATTGGAAAGAAGAGTGAGGTATAAGGAGATGAAAACACATAACAAATCATTTTTTCCTACCAAATCATTCTGGAAAATGAGACCATTTAAATTTCAAATGTTTTTTTTCCCTACCAAATCATTCTGGAAAATGAGACCATTTAAATTTCAAATGTTTTCCTGTTTCTTTAAGCAATTCTCAACGTTTCCAATAGTAGACTTATCAGGCATTTTTTTTTTTTTTAACATCATCTTATCTAAAACATGACTTTCTAAACTGCAAATGTTTTGGCCAGAACTTTTCTCACTATGTGAGAGTTAAAGAAAAAAAAAAGCAACAACTATTTTTCCAGGACATTTGCTTAGTTGCTTATAATATTACTTTTCACCCTGATATTATAGGATCGTTTCTTGTGTAGTCAACTTTGCTGTTTTCCATTCACTCCTAAACAAATTGCCTTTGTTCTTAATGTTTCTTTGTTTTCTCATATAATGTTCAGGATTAACTTTACTTAGAAAGTGGGTATTAACATTTTTATTTATTTATTTTTATTTTATTTATTTGAGACAGAGTTTTTATTTATTTATTTATTTGTTTGTTTGTTTGAGATGGAGTTTCACTCTTGTTGCCCAGGCTGGAATGCAATGGGGCAATCTTGGCTCACTGCAACCTCCGCTTCCCAGGTTCAAGTGATTCTCTTGCCTCAGCCTCCTGAGTAGTTGGGATTATAGGTGCCTGCCACCATACCTGGCTAATTTTGTAGAAACAGGGTTTTGCCATGTTGGTGAGGCTTGTCTTGAGCTCCTGACCTCAGGTGATCCACCCACCTTGGCCTCCCAGAGTTCTGTGATTATAGGCATGAGTCATGGCACCCAGCTGACATTTTGATTTTAATTTCACTTAATTTATAAATTATACTAGAGAGAAATGGTATCTTTATCATCATGAATCCAGCAAATTCATGTATTTATTTAATGATTTCATTTAAATTCTTCAATAACATTTTGTATTTTCTCCATAAAGTTCTTACATATAATATGTATAGCATTCTTGAGTTTTATTGCTAAATATTTATTTTCTAATTGTTATTTGTGGTTTTATAGAAAACTATCTTGTATCTTACTCTTAAAAAGAGCAAACCTGCTAAAATTTTACATTGACTATAATAATTTTGAAGTAATCTTTTATATTCTATATGTTAACATTCATAAAGTAGGTGTGGAAAAAGACAGCTGTTTCTCTCTAATCTTTATAGATTTTTATTTATAGTATCTACCTTATTTTTCTGCTGAGTACTTCCAGAACAATGTATATTAGAAATGGTAATAGCAGGCATCCTTGTCTTGTCATAATTTTAAAAGACGTTGTTTAAATGTTTCAAACAACAATGCTTTTTGCTGTAGAATTTTGGTGGTTAATCTTCCTTAAGTAAAGAAAAATTTTTTTATTCCTAGTTTGTTTAGAACTTTTATCAGAAATTTGATGCTGACTTTTATAATTTTTTTCTTCATCTACTCAGATGATTATGTTGTTTAATTTTCCCTTAATTTATCAGTGTTTTGATACACTTTTTATTTTTGGAGCATCCTGTGTTCTGACCCATAACCAATCCCATATGAGGTTTTTTAAGCACTAAAAAAACCCTTCAATATGTAATACTGAATTCAATTTACTAATAATTTAATTTTGATATTTGAGTCTCATTTTTTTTAACCCCTTTGCTGACTAAATTTCATGGTGCTTTTAAGAAATTTGTTTCTTTACTCCTCACCCATGAACTCGCCTTTAGAAGGCATTAAAAAATCTATTTGGATAGTTGAGAAATTGTCTGCCAGGCCTCCCTGCGGCATCACTGGCCTCAGCAAGCTTACATCTTAATTTCATGTCTTGACAATTCTTGCACTGAATATGTATGTATTGATAGTATAATTAGTATAATCTTTAATATGAATTTCTTTCTGACCTCCCCGTGTGTGTGTGTGTGTGTGTGTGTGTGTGTGTGTGTGTCCATACTTTAATTTTATTTCAGTGGTATCCTAGAAATACTGTGGCAAATTATTTTACACTTCAACAACTTCATCTAAAAGCAAATAAAAGCAAACGCTCACCTGGTAAAAGTTCACCCTTTTTTGGTTTACACGTCAGTCTTCCCCACTAAAATGGTAACACTATTTCTAATTTACGTCTTTTCTCTAGTGTTCTGCACAGTGCATCAAAAGTGGTCGAGCTATATTTCTTGAATAAAAGCATGTACTCTAGCTACCAATTTTATGTGTTTTATAAAATGTAAAACACAAGAACCATAAACCAATTGGTTCAACCATCTTATTTAATATCTTCTGCATGCCAAATGCTATGTTTGTCTCCTTATCCCAACTTCTACGCCACCACACATTTCATTTTTCTCCCATATTTTTTCAAAACAAGCAATTTATACATTTTTCTCCTACTTTTTTTCTGAACAAATAGTTAATATATTTTTTTCTGGACAACAGTTTAATTAAATGGTAATATGTTGTTGGTTGTGCCAGATTTTAGTTAAATACTTCTCGTGATCTTCAGGGGAGTTTTTTAGCTATTTAAAATAGACCCAAAATAGAAGGTCCAATAAGGTATAATCTCATAGGATTAAATATAATTTGAGTGGTTTTTCTTTATAAATGTAATCTGTTTATTGACCATAGAATTACATTTAATAAAATAAAAAAATTAAAATCATATTTGACTTCATCAAACTTATTAGTCATTACCTCATTAGACCATATTTCTTCATTATTTGAGGCACTATAATATCAGTTTGTCAAATGAAGTGTTAGGTTTTTTAAGGGTTCTAAAGTATTCATGTTCTTTCACATTTTTCCAAAAGTAAGATAGTTGTTTACCTTCAATGATTAGTTTTTCCTAAACAATAAAACTTAACTTACTCTTTTATTTTGGTACTTCTACAAATTTAAATCTGATATGTATGTCCAAAACCAACGTTTGAAAATATGATCTAAGTTCCATGAAAATTGGAAGCAATTGCAGAAATCTGTACAAAAGTACAAAAGATACTATTTTTGACAAATGGCCGTACTGTGTTTGGGGAGTGGTTCTACATTCTTATCCTTTCAGTTTTCTAAAGTGTTTTTTAATTTTATTTTTAAAATATTTTTTATGTAAAGGGAAATTGTTTTTCTTCTCTTTTTTCTTTCTTTCTTTTCTTTTTGTTGTTGTTGTTGGTTTTTTTTGTTTGTTTGTTTGAGACAGAATTTCATTCTTTGTTGCCCAGACTGGGGGGATGCAATGGCATGATCTCAGCTCACTGCAACTTTGCCTCCCAGGTTCAAGCGATTCTCCTGTCTCAGCCTCCCTAGTAGCTTGGATTACAGGTGTGCGCCACCATGCCTGGCTAAATTTTTTTTTTTTTAATTTTTACTAGAGATGGGGTTTCACCATGTTGGCAAGGCTGGTCTTGAACTCCTGATCTCAGGTGATCTGCGAACCTCGACCTCCCAAAGTGCTGGGATTATAGGCACGAGCCACCATGCCTGGCCAAAATTGCATATTTTAAGCACTAAAAAAACCCTTACATTCTATCTTCTCTTATTTTAGCATTTCTATTTAGTGATTGCTGTGAGAAACCGACAAAACCTGTCTCTGGAGTTATGTGTTGGCACCATCAATATCAACATCCAGAATGTCAATGATGAGAGTCCTGTTCTTAAGTAAGCAATGAGTAATCTAAATATTTAAATGATAATATTTAGCCACAGAAACTTTTCTCATAGGAAGATAAAGACCATTTGGCTATTGTTTCACTGCTAATTTTTATAAATGTTTTAAAAGATCTAGAAAGCAAACCTCAATGAGCTGTATTTTATTGCTGTTTTTACATGCACTGGAAGTCAACTCATTTATATTTTGTCCTTGAAACTACAGAAGAGAGCCAATATTTTTGGGTGGATTATGAATTGAAAGCTTCCTATTTTTCTGGTATTTATTTTTAATAATCAAAATATTATTAAAAAATGTACATTGATATGTTCATACCATGAGGTCAGTGTAGGTATTCCAGAGAATTTTAGCAATAAGCACTTGCTGATATGGACAAATTCCCAAACACAAAGATAATGATAATAATTGCAGAAACATTTGTAGTATTTTGTAATCTGGAGTAAGGTACAATTTACCAATCAGTAGAAGGAATTGAAAAAGGATACAGTTAAAAGAAAACTTTTAAGTTCATTTTACAATATGTAAACATTCTCTACTAAATTTAATAACATACAACAAAAAAACATTAAGTAGGCCAGACTTGAAACTCTTATACACAGTTTGTGTACAAACTGTTACACAATATGTATTATATGAAATTTAAAATATTTGCTGTGTGACATAGATGAAAAGAGACATTTGTTTATACTGATTGATTAAAAAAAATCTCTTTGTTTCACATATATATACCAGATGCACCTATAAATATTTATGAAAATCTGCCTGTTGGAACAAAGTTGATCAAGTTGACAGCAATTGATAGAGACATAGGGGACTTGGTACATTACAAAATTATAGGGACACAAAAAGAATTTTCTATAAATGAAGGTATAACAAATTTTTATGGTGAATCATTTTATAAATTATAATAAACACTGTTTTTACTACTGAAAAATAAGCCTGATTGTCATTCTATTAAGATGAAACAATCTTTAAAATATTTATTGGCATATTTAGTGTATTTTCATGAGGTAGAAATTATTATTCCTTTTCAGAAGTATGGAAATGGTCTATAATCTGGCTGCTCCAGGAGGCTCCCAAATAATTCAAATTCACAATAGCAATCCCTGGGATTTTATTTTATGATTTTTTTTTTCTCTGAGAAGTAAATTTTCCTATGGAAACCAGAGCAGTAGTAAACATAAATTGAATATTTATTATATATCACATATTCTTATAAGCACTTTGCATACATAATAACCCCTTTGGGTTTTTACTATCCTAATTCTAATGTAACATATGATGCCTGGAAAATAATTTTAATTTATCCAAGCTTGTGCAGCTGATTTCTGTGGCAGAACCTCCACTTGAATTCAATGTGCTTGATTTTGACACTTGTTTAACTCTAACTACCTTCCACATGGCCAAAAGTTTGGAGTTTCTAACCCTAATGACGTAACTATAAAACAAGAAGAGGAAGACAAGAAAGATGTCTTCTCATTTTAAGAGGTGATATACATTTTTGCACATGAAAAGAGCTGGGTTAAATACACACCATCTATTACATCAGTTAAAAGAGCTCCTGGCAGAGAGTCAGAAACTGAAAGGGGTGACTTGTGGAGAGAAAGCTTGGTACGTCAAGTCAGAAGTTAAGGAGAGAGAGAGGGGAAGAGAGAGATCAGACAGACAGAGAGAGAAGGGGGCCAGAGCTGGCAGTGAGGAGGGGACAGTAGCAGAGATGGGAAATTAGTTATATACCGGGGGATTGATAAAAAGCTAAAGATAAATAAAGGATGGTTTCTCCCATCAGAGATGTGAGTAACAATTGTGGAAAATGAGAAACTGTAATGAGCCATGTGAGGATAAATTAAAATTGAAGGTATCAGAATGAACATATATTTTTCCATATACATGTGTGTGTGTATGTATGTATATATATACATATATATATTTGTTCATGTATATTTATGTGTGCATGTGTATGCAGTTAACAAACATTGAGGTAATTATATGTGTACATATATAGACACACAAACATAAAAACGTACATTTTGTGTCTTTCCCTACTTAAAGAGTGAAAGAGCATAGGAGCATGATATCCGAATAGCCATGAATACTCCTATTTCTCAGATACTGAGTTCTAAATACCATTTTCCCTATAGAAGCTTTTTAGAGGAATGACTGTCCTTGAGGTCACCGCAGTTAAAATATAGAACAAGCGAAAAAGTAGGAACATGCTGGAAGAATGATGAGGGTATGTCAATAACAAACAAAAATACCAGAAATCAGCTTGAATTGTTCCCCCTTGCCAATTCTAGAGCAGTCTGAGCATCAAAATAAATAATAGTTATAGATTATAAATCATAAAATGAGGCTGCATGAGTCCAGCAGATATAAATACTAAAATAAATGGACAGTTTGACGAAAAACAAGATGATTACATAGTTTCAAAGTATCTCTTCACAAAATACTTTTTTTTTTGGAGACCATCTCGCTGTGTCACCTAGACTAGAGGGCAATGGCGTGATCTTGGCTCACTGCAACCTCCACATCTGGGTTCAAGCGATTCTCTTGCCTCAGCTTCCCAAGTAGCTGTACTACATCACCATGCCCAGCTAATTATTTGTATTTTTTAGTAGAGACAGAGTTTCACTATGTTGGCCAGGCTGGTCTTGAACTCATAACATCATGCTAAGCCCGCTTTGGCCTCCTAAAGTGCTGAGATTATAGGCATGACCCCCCATGCCCGGCCCACAAAATACTTATGATCGCAAAGGGCAAAATAGCAACTTTGGAGTAGAGAAAATTGACAGATACTCACTGAGTCAAATGATTAAAGTGGGTTTCATCAGTAACGAGGCAAACTGATAACATTCAATAAGAATACAGTATAGTTTGTATGATATTTAATTAAAAGCTACGCAACCTGAATCTAATGAGCTCAGATTAGGCAAACCCAACTTAAGAGACGTTCTTCAAAATTACTAGTCTGTAATCTTCAAAAAGTTCAAGGTCATAAAACTCAAGGGAAGATTGGAGACTTTTTCCAGATTTAAGGAGGCTAAAGAGACCTGACAACATGCAATTCTGAACTGGATCTTTTGCTATAAAATACATTGAGACAATTAATGAAATTTAAGTGGAGATCTCGGTGTTAGATGTACTGAGGTTAACTTTCTGATTTTGATGTATCATGGCTGTTTGGAGAATATCTTTTCTTTTAGGAAATATATATGGAGGCATCAGTTCAGTTACTTACTCTCAAACTGTTCTAAGAAAAAAAAAGCTCTTTTATAAACTTGTAATTACTTTTAAAATTTAATAATTGTACTAAAATAGAAATAAGGAGAAAATAATGATAGCTATAGAAAATAGATAGAGAAAAGCCAACACTTTAAATCATATTCTAAAAATTCCTGAAGAAGTAAACAAAAAGCAATGAAATACAACAAATACTCAGAGGTATCATCCAAAAAATATTCATAAAATAAAAGATTTGAAAGGCAAACTAGGTTCTTGGAAAAACTAATCTATAATGGCTGAATCTGAGCCATATTTTAATAAAGTATTAGATGTTATTTTTTTACAAAAGCATTTGAGCCTCTAGGCAAAAAGAGTAGGTGACTTATAAGGGAGTAATATTAATACATTGTTAACAGATCCGTTCTCTAAGTTAATGGAGTGACGTATTTAGGAAACCTGAGGACACATAACGTGATTTCACAAATTTACATTTGGCAAAATGACCTCTTATATTTAAAAAACAGCATATAAAAATTTGTGAACATAGGAAACAGTATTTCCTATTAGTTCTTCCTGATGCACTCTAGGCAACCAAAATAACTAGAGATGTAAGAACGTAAGAAATGAGAATGAGCACCAGTTATATTTTTACCTGTAGATTAAAAATCAAGACTATAAAGGAGACAACACATTTCACATAGGGTTACATGCTCTGCAAATATTGATGAGATAAAATTATTTAAAAAGCAATTCCCAATGAAAGTATTATCAGTTTTTCTTTCTGTTGATTTCTGTTGTTGTTTTTCTCTTTGCCTGCTGTCCCCCACTCCAGCTACACTCTCTTCACCACCCCCACTCCACCTCGATCTTCTCTGCCTAGATTTCCTGTACTAATTTTTCAACACTCAGCTGAGCCTGTACTGTGTGCTCCCAACCCCAACCACCATGACCCTCCCGTGAAATATTTTCTGAAATAATGCGGTTACAGAGGCTTCTCTCTTTTCCTGTCACTTACTCAACCACCATTCCTTACAGATCCACAATTGTGACTAGCATGTGAGTTTCATCAGATCAATGACTGACCTTTATTTATCCTTAGAACTACTTTATCCATGCAACTATTTTTAAATTCATAACTTATTCATTTTATGAGTACTGAACAAATTTGCATGTGCCTGCTTTTTAGATTCAGGAGAGATCACCCTTACTTATCCTTTGGATTATGAAGACAAAGCCACCCCAAAGTCTTGGATATTATATTTTAGAGCTTATGACAATGAACGAATACATTCAACAACTGGGACAGTCACAGTGTTTCTACAAGATGTAAATGACAACCCACCTTGATGCTCACAGGATATTTACATGTAAGTTTTGATAGTAATTGTTTGGTCTTCAGATTTTGGCACAGAAAGAAGCAGGAGAAAAATAAATGGGTAAGCATTGTACCATCCCTGGAATGAAGGTGAAGCCTTTTGTTCTTTCCTTTATTTTCAGGCAATATGCATTTCATCCCTGGTACAAGTGTATCTGATTTATTAATTCTTTAAAAACTTTAAAAATTAAAGCTAGAAAGGATTCCAAAGGATCATTTTGTTTAGTTTCATGCTTTCAGGGAGATAAAAGAACTATTATATTAAAAATCATATATTTGTATAAATATAAAGCTATAATTCATTTTATATTTTACTGACATTAACTTAATGATAGCTCTAAAACCACATACAAACTTACCTTCTTTGTTCTGGCTTTTAAATTACACAGAAATTTAAAATGCAAGTATGATATGTTATTTCCACTATTAAAATGGAGTTCAGTTACTCACCAAGTTTACACAGTTAATACATAGTAGGTTGAATCCTGAAACCTCGATTTTCTGATCCTTAGTGTATTTTTCTCTACAGAATACTAGAGTGCTCAAAAAGACTTAACTTAGTCTAGGAGTAATCTGGTAACATATCTCATTCCAACAGTGTGTGATTACATAATTAATAATAGATTACATGATAATCTCATTAATAATTAATGATCATCCATTATAAGTAATATTGTTGATATTATAACATATTATATATCATATTAATAATTAGGCAAACCTAATTATTTAATTAGGTTTAGGCAAACCTAAAAAAAATCTGAGGAAAACCATAGTAATCCATGCTTCCTGCAACAAAAGACTATCTAGATGCACCTAAAATAAACTACCTGCAGAATTTTGATAGTCCTGCAAGTTGAGCAATAAAAGCCCTTGCTTAATTAAAAATTTCACTTTCACTAAATTTAATTAATTTAGGCAAACCTAAAAAAAATCTGAGGAAAACCATAGTAATCCATGCTTCCTGCAACAAAAGACTATCTAGATGCACCTAAAATAAACTACCTGCAGAATTTTGATAGTCCTGCAAGTTGAGCAATAAAAGCCCTTGCTTAATTAAAAATTTCACTTTCACAGCAGAAATGCTATTTTAAAATACATTATAAAAGGTTTTTGGTGGTCTGAGCTTGAGTAACTTTCTCCCACTGAAAACAACATTTTATTAATACACATGCAGGCATATATTTGATCACTTTATAATAAAAAAGTCCAAAATACACATACAAAAAAGGTGTCATTGCTGTTATACTCAAAAATCAACTTTTAGTTTGTAAACTTTTTGCCAGAGATGTTCTGCTAAAAACCAAAAGGCCAAAGAAGAATTCTGTAGCCACTCCAATAGTTGTTTGCTTCTACTTTCTATTCCAGCTAGTAGTCTACAGATTCTTATTGGAGGGTATTAGAATTTTTTGTTTCTGAAACATTTTCCATGTTAACAAATTAGACAACACACCTTTTATTCCTCGATTATTTTAATTGTAAGGTATTTTAAATGCTTGACATTAGAAATATTCTTTTAAAACTGACAAAAATACAATTATAATTGTGTGTACTATTTAAGATACCACTGATTGCTGTTAAAAAAAAATAAATAACATACGTATCTATCACTGGCTAAACCAATAAGCATTTCTTTGCCCCTCATGTAAAGAGTGGTGCAGGTTGGTGGACTCTACTGTGTGGCACTCCTCTATGCTGTGACTCAGGGGTCCTAGACTACTCAGTTGTTTGGCTTTGCAGTGTGTTGCCTTGTGCTCCCAACCACATGGAGAGAAAGTGAGAAAGACAGCATGTGGAAGGTACCCCCAAGTTTTAACCATCATTGATAGAACTGATATATAGCATTGCCACTTGCATTTCATTTGCCAGCACACCTCACATAGCCTACTACTGCAGTAGTTGTAGGAAAACTGGGATATATAGAGGGATATATGAATATTGGTAAGAATAAATAGTCCCTGCTAACCAGCAAAGTTAATAGTCAATAGTTCTGTTTCTTTGTTTTAAGTGAGAAAGAAGTATATATTATCTGCCTTAAAAAAATGGAACATTTAACTTCAAGAGATCACATAGAGATCTAGGATTTATAAATATAAAATTATTAATCTTTAATACAAATTTCCATTTTGTTCAATGATCATATGTGTGCATAATACTAAAGTTGTTGCTTATTAATCCAGCATAATAGCAATTCAATTCCCTTAGTCTCAGCAAGGATGCCAAATAATTTCTTATCTTATACAATTTTTCATCAACACTATAATTTTCTTATTGGCAAAAGTGGTTATTTAAAATATGAGCACATTTTAAAACTTCTTTTTATTAAATATTATCATCTACATAAATCTAGATTAACAACATGTTACACTACATTTTTCTCATATTCTACTCGTTACAGAACTGAACGTCCTGAAAACATCCCAGCTGAAACTCTTTTAGTCTCTCTAACTTGTACAGATAAGGACGGAACTGCTCCCAATAACAATATAACATATCATTTGATTATGGGTGCTTTTTCAAATGAAACATTTACCCTCACAAACAATGAATTAAGAGTAAGTATTTTTAAGTTGCTCTTTGATTGTGTCTCTGTGATTAACCTTAGATAGAAAAACATTTCATTTTCATTATTATAAAATTCTTAATGAACTACAGTAATTCAAATAGCTGATGGCAGAATTTGTTCCTGGATATTTAATTGAACCTTAAATTGCCAACAACATATCTTAGTTTGAGATGAATGCTGGAATGCAATTTTGATCTTTGGAACTGAACTAGGAAGGTTATAAATTTCCCAGAACACATGGCTTTATAATAAAATACTGTCTATTTCTTTGGAATGTGTCAAACTACTGAAACGGGATACCCCAGCCTTGGGGGTATGGCCTTCACCAGGGACCACCCTCTTCAACCCAGTATTTCCATATCACTACCACAATTACTTTTAATAAATATATTCAATAACTGTCAAATAAATATAGTATATGAAGATAATTAATGTGGATAGTTTATTACTGTATTCTGGGATGTGCCATAGCTCAAATAGTTTACTAATTAAAGAAATCTGGAACTTTATTTCCAATAAATTTTGAGACCTAGGTCAGGCTAAGTGGTGTTATATTTGCATAATTTTAAAAGAATAGGTGGGGTTAGATTAGATATTGTGTTCAACAAAGATTTCTGGGTAATGGCTGAACATTGCTATAATAAAAGTTGTTCAAACCCATGTTGAGTTTGTTATCATTAACTGATAAGAAACCAAACATGGGCTGGATGTGTAGACACAGGTAACAAACACTTCTTTTTCACCTTATTTTGATACTGAATTCATTGTAATTGGACTTCTTTCCAAGTTGCACTTCATATAAACCCCAAATTTTATCATTTTCTGTCTTATATTTTGTGGCTGAGATGCACAGAACCACTCTCACAATCTTACAATGGATGTCCTTCACCTCTGCCTTTTTGTCCTGGTGTTCATGCTATTCATACTGCTAGAAATTTCTCCTCAGTTATGTTGTGTCCCCAGTATTCATACACTTTTGCATAACCTTCATGGCTTTGTTTAGCAATTGTTTCTTTTAAGAGCTATCCTTGATATTTCTTCTCCCTCTTGTCTGGATTAGGCATGTCTCATTGGGTTCTTGCAGCATTTTGTATCTCTCTCACCATAGCACTAATCACGCATTCCATCTGTTTCAGCCATTAGATTGTAAAAGAAAAAAATCTGTTGTAAACTAGTTTCTGACATATATTCAGTGTTTTTGGATATATATATTTATTAATGACCAGTTAATGGGTACAAATCTTCCATTTGATAGAAGAAATAAGACCTAGCATTTGATCAGCAGGGTGACAGTAGTTTACAGTAATCCACTGTATAATTCAAAATAGCTAGAAGAAAACAATATAGATATTTTTAGCATAAAGAAAAGATAAATATTTAAGATATATGGATATCCCAATTACACTGATTTTGATCTTCACAAATTATACCAATGTATTACATTGTTGCGTGTACCCCAAAATATGTACATTATGTATCAATAAAAAATAAATTAAAAATACTGAATGAATTAGTAAATAAAATGAACAGAAGTATACTGTAAAAATCATATTTGAAAGGCAGTGACAGGAGTTAGAAATATATTATTGCCAGATGCATCAATGCCACATTTTCATAATTTCTTGCAACTAGAAGACATTGTTGATACGACTTATCAAAACAGACACTTGTAAACTATATATATTTCATTTGTATCCTGATAATGTTGGAAAATAATACAATATCAAAAATATCCTCAAATAGGAATATGAAGAACATGGCACTGAGTAACATTTCTTTGAATCTCCCTTCTTCATGCAATTCTAACAAGAATAAAGCAAATAAAGCAAGCACACAAAATACATGAGCAAACAACAAAAAAATTTTTGTAGTGAACCTGTCCTAATTTTACAAAAACCATAAAACCAGCCACATAAATTTCCTGGAAGCCAAACCATTGAACCAGAGTATCTTATGATGGCTTTTTCTACCTTTGTCTGAGAATTATGAAATACTAATGTTCATTAAATTCACTGGCATATGGTATACCTCTTTTTTTCCCAGTTATTATTATTATTGGAATGAGAACAACAGTATTTTTCTCAAAGGGTGATTAAGTTCAGAAAGAATCATAAAGTGGCACCATCCTTATCTTAATAAAGCAGCCAGAGAAAAGAAGCTAGTGTATAGAAAAAGAAACTGATATAATTTTAGTGCTTAGGGAATAAAACATTTACTAGAAGAACATAGAAAAAATATGTGTTTGACTTTCCAACGATGTTTGAATTTTAAACTCATAAAAGGGCATAATTAAAATACAATTTTTTTTTAATTAAAAATAAAATTGATTTGTTCTTAGATGCCATACATTGGCATGTGTATTATATTAATGAGATAAAAAAAGTTTAGCAGTCACTCAAAAATATGATTTACAATAAGCACCAAGAGTTTTATGTTAAAATAATGATTACAGCTCTAGTAGACTAGTAGATATTAACTTTAAATTTATCTTTACTCATTGGGGAATGATATTCACCAGGGTACCAGTGATAGCCATGTAATTGTAATGTTTAAGAATGAATTACTATTTAATGAATCCAGATGATTTCATATGCAATATATTGAATTTATTAATAAAATAATAAAAAATGAATATTTCTTTAAGTCAGTATTACTAATCATGTATTCTATGAGGTTATTTCTCGTTAATGAGCACTGACCTGAAAAATCACCCCAATATATTTTTACTAGTCAGTTCATTTTTTAATTACTATTTTATGATGTAATATTTGATATTAGATAACATAATAACATATTTGCAAGTAATAAAGCGTAGCAATAAAATGAACCCCTGAACCCATCATCTCACTTCAGAATTAGAATATTACTAACAGCTGTGCTGCTACCCTTTTCCATACCTCTGCTTGTCTGCTAGAAGCAACCAATATCCTGAATTTTGTGTTTGTCATTGACTTGGGGATTTTATAGTTTTGCTATCAATGTACATAGTACTAGATAACATTGTTATATTTGCTAAGTTCTTGAGCTTTAAAAAAGTAGTATCATTTCTATGTCGTCTTCTGTGAATTGATATTTAATTCATTATGTGTTTAAGACTCATTATTGTTTAGGGGGTACTTGTTTATCATGTCTGTGATCTATCTGTCTATTTATCATCTACCTGTGTATCTATGTATCTGTCTCTCTACCTCAGTCACTCAGTTGCTGTAATGTTTCATTGTATTCCTTAATATTCTATTGTGTGACTATAACCATTCTCCCATTGGTAGAGATTTTAATTTCCTCCTGGTTTTTGCATGTGATGCATATCATTGTAGTGAACATTATTGTGTATTTCTCTTAGTGCTCCCAGAACAGAAGTGCCACCTTATAATGTATTTAAATGTTCAACTATATGCGTTAGTGCCACATTGCTTTCCAAAGAGGCTGTACCAGCTTGTACTTTCATGTGAAATGTATAAGCATTGCTTTTGAGCAATGTTTTTATCATAATAACTGCTACTGTCACATAGTTTAACACACTTTTGCCTGATTGATAATGCGATTGCACATCTTTTCATATATTCACCAATTCTGTGGATATTCCTGTTTCCTTTGTGTGAAATGAATAATCACCTATTAACCCATTCTTGTTTTGTTATTTTTATTGTTGGTGTGATACACTCTGATATTTTGGAAAATATCCTATATTTTCTTGTAAATATGTTAAAAAGTGGCCTTTCATATTTAAGTTTTTCTAAATGTAAAAGAACTTATTTTGTGGTGGGCAGTAAAGTAGAAATTCAATTAATTATTCTTCAGTATTTGGAGCACCTACTCTCACAGTGATACTTCTGCAAAGACCTCTAATGCTATTTCTGACATTTATAGAATTTCCATAGATGATGTGTCTGCCTTTGGCTATTTCCCTGTTGTAGCTGTAGTTCTTTTTATTGTTAAATTTATTTCTATATTTTCAGATTACCTTACTATCTACGGATAAGAAAAGGCATACAATAAATTTACAAAATTATTACTGATGTGAATTATCAACTTCCTGACTGATATCTGGTTCAGTGCCGTTTTTCTCCATGTTACTTTTCTTTATATATTTGGAATATAGACTGCAGAATTCAAATATTGGGAAGTACCTTAGAGATCACATAATATGCTACTTCATTCATGAAGAAATTGTTTTCTCCCATTTGACTAATTCATTTATAGGCTCCAATTTCTACTATTCTGGGGACATTGTAGAATTTTTAAGAAAACAGTTTTATTCACCTATTTTTTTTGCAGCAACTCAGTATCTAGTTGCTACACATAACTTCCCTCTCTAATGGGTATTGGAGATAAAAATAGTGTGTTGAGAAAAATAGTTAATGTGAATGTGGGTGAGGCACAAAAAAGACTTCAGAAGAACTGAACACACAGCACACAATCACATTCTTTCCACTCCTTCCCTTGAAAGGCCTCAGACCTACTCTAGGCTACAACCACCCTGAGGATTGTGTGATTATGAATTAGCTGGAAAGGAGAAGACTCTTACCAATGCCTTTTGTATTTAACATTATTAAAGATCCTGAAAGCATCATGCCTGCCCTGCACATTCTTCCCAGGAGAGTAAAGTAAAAGAGCAAAAATATGAGATGCTTTGACCTCTCCCAGCAGAATGGATTTCAAGTTTTGTTTTTGCGTTAAGTTTGAAGCTTGCAATTCAAAGCTTGCTGCCAACAGGTTATTTCCACTAATACTAACCCAGATCTAACTCATTTTCAAAGAACACAAATTCATGACGGCTACTTTTTACACATTATAGTAACTATTTACAAGGAGAACCTATGGAACAAGAAAACAGCAATCAATGATGAATGAATCAGTGTGAACAAATGAACATGTAATATGACACCCTACTTTTGCTCTTACAGTGTATGGTAATAATTACAAAGTGCCAGAATATACAGTAATATCATCTTAGGTGTACAATCAATTTATAGTTGTATATTATATAAAACTTTGCTCTGCAGAACAGTATGGAATACACTAGCTACATGTGCCTTTGAGCTTATGAGCTATGTTTTGTCCAAATTAAGATATGTTACAGTTTTCAATGAAGCAATGAATTTCATAGAATTACTATGAATAAACAAATGTAAACATCATAACAATATTTTTATATTGATTGTAATTTAAAATGGTAGTATTTTGGATATGTTTGATTAAAATAATTCATTAAAATTAATTTTACCTGTTTGTATTATTTTTAAATATGGCTACTAGAAAAGTTAAATTTCATATATGGCACATATTTATAGCTCATGTTATATTCCTACTGGATAGTCCTGTTATAGAATATCACTTTCACTAATTTGTTACCTATATAAGTTTCATATGTCTTCATTTGGGATTCACATAAATGACAAAATAGATGTTTAACCAAAGAAAAGAAAATGAACCATTGATATACTGTTTTTAATCTACAGATTGGACCTACACATCTGGATTTTGATAATGCTATTTTTGCAGGAATGCATTTCAAATATACATTGTTTGTGAAAGTGTCTGACAAGGGAAGTCCTGTACTATCAAGTAAGAACTTACTAATTTGAAATATTAAAATAGTTTGACATAGAAAACACCCAGTACATTTAAAAATCTGAGTTTATTATATTTATAAGTATTCTAATAATCTGTTAGAATAAACTATGCAATATATTATTCTTATAATAACTGATTTAGTGCTCATGCACAGCTATTTAAAAACTGAAAGACTACATAAAAACAAACTAGAGGAGAGAATGACACCCAAATGTTTAATATAGCACATTATAGTTATTTAAAGACAATGTCAAAAATAAACATTTCTAGAATGCTTGTGTATTTAAAATATTTCTCAAGGAATTATTTGTTCTGCTTTAGAGAAAATATTAATATTCAGATTCTCATGCTAAATTGCATTCTTTCATTATTTATTATGCTGAAGTATTTTAATTATATTTCAATTGGTGAATACTATGGTCAGCTTTTGGAAACTATGGTTTTTGATACAGAATACTAGCATTTATATATAAACACACCATAAAAGACAATTGCTTTGACAGGTGTTCAAAAAACTCAATAGACTGTTCTAATCCTCAATTTATTTTCAAGTGCTCTGTAATTGAAAAGGTAATAATTTAATATTAAAATATATCAACATATATGTACTTGTAAAATTTATGCCATGAGATTTCAGAATATAAAATAATATGATAATATGAGGTGTTAATTAAAAAGGATAAGAAAAAGGAAGGATTATTGAATAAGACACATTATTGCCTTAGCTACATATTTTATGTGCTTTTTTCTCCATAGCAATCATTACAGTCATCGTAAGTGTGAGTTGCATAAATGAACTGAATCCAGTTGGAACTGCATCGGCATTCACCTTCAGTGTATTTGAAAATAGTCCAGTTGATACACTAGTTGGAAAAGTTACATTTATTGATGCAGACTGGTCATTTAATAATATGAAATATACCATTGTTGGAGGCAATTTAGGAACACCTCCCAAATTTTACATTGAACCAGATACAGGTATCATAAAATGCTGATATCAATTAATCATAAAAGTAAAGAGTTCATATACACTCAGTGGAAATTTATTTAGAATCTGTGATCATGAGAATATCTTTCTCTTGAACTATTTAATGTTCACCTGGATTTCTTAGCTGTATTGATAAATTTTTTTTTATTGTATTTTAGGTTCTGGGGTGCACGTGCAGATCATGCAGGATTAGGTACACACATAGCAAAGTGGTTTGCTGCCTCCATCCCTACTTCACCTACATCTGGCATTTCTCCCCATGTTATCCCTCCCCAACCTCCCCACCCCCCCTGCTGTCCCTCCCTCGCTCCCCTCCAACAGACCCCAGTGTGTGATGCTCCCTGCCTTGTGTCTTATTGTTCTTATTGTTCGTCACCCACCTATGAGTGAGAACACGTGGTGTTTGATTTTCTGTTCTTGTGTCAGTTTGCTGAGAATGACGGTTTCCAGATTCATCCATGTCCCTACAAAGGACACAAACTCATTATTTTTTATGGCTGCATAGCATTCCATGGTGTATATATGCCACATTTTCCTTGTCCAGCCTATTGTCAATGGGCATTTGGGTTGGTTCCAGGTCTTTGCTATTGTAAACAGTGCCGCTTTGAACATACATGTGCATGTGACTTTATAATAGAATGATTTATAATCCTCTGGGTATATGCCCAGTAATGGGATTGCTGGGCCAAATGGAATTTCTATTTTTAGGTCCTTAAGGAAGCGCTACACTGTCTTCCACAATGGTTGAACTAGTTTACACTCCCACAAACAGTGTAAAAGTATTCCTATTTCTTCACATCCTCTCCAGCATCTGTTGTCTCCAGGTTTTTTAATGATCTTACCTAAGGCAAAGTGCTGAAGCTTTGATCTTTGCTATATTCAACTTCAGAAAGCCTATGCATATGTGCTCTTCCATGTATCCAAGAACGTGACTTAACAAGTGACTAAAATAGTGTATACGTTAATACCTGTTATAATTTTGCTGCTGAATTACACTTTAGGGGTATGAATATATAATGAATTCATTTGTATTAGTTAATTTCTATTATTATAATGATTTCATTTATAGAATTAATAATATAGAATAAACTGAAAATATTTATTAATCCTGGGATAACAGGTCTCCCTTTATTTTTGTGTCAGGAGTGATAAAGCTATTAGATTCACTAGACAGAGAAATTGAATCACAGTACAAAATATCTGTGAGAGTAACAGACTTGGACAACGATGCCATCCCTGACCCTTTCAAGCAGAGAAGTGGTACTGCTCATGTGACCATCAATGTTCTGGTAAGAATGAGTCACTGCTTGTGACATTGTTATCTCTTTGGAAGCACATTCTTGAGAAATATAAATGAGGCAAAGTTGTAATCATTACATTTCAGAGCCCTCAGTATGGATCTAAATTCAGAGAGTAGTATGTTCGTCCAAAAATATTCTAACGGTAAAATACATTGACAGAATTGTCATTATATACAAATTAACCCGTGTGACTTCTAAATTAATTTTATTGTCTTACAAATCTGAACTTAGATGTAAAGTGAGGATACCTCTGGTTGTATTTCAGAAGTTACTGGAAGGATTATTTTGTGGTTAAACATATTTCCATAAGCAAGCAAACATACGATCTAGAGTTTTAAGAAGTTCCTTTGATATATTTTAATCTGTTTCTTGGTTTGTCTGTTTTTTCTCACCCTCTCTGGTTTTCATAGAGGAAATATCTTAATATTTTTTACTAACAAAGATTCTAAGAGATCAGCCTCAGAACCTCACAAACATGATGACATGAAGTATACAGGCAAGAAATTCTAAGTTTTTTTAAAAAAAATTAATACAAGAATATATTTTACTTGGCTTGTCCAAGACTTACGTCAATAAAATTATGTACATTACTTTCATTGGCAGAAGTATATAGAAGGAAAAATTTGCCTTTATAGATAGTGCCAA